GAGTACCCGTACACTACGCCCGAGCTAATTCGCGGCCGTATCCGCTGCCACACCGCCTGACAGACTTGCCCTCAGTGCCATGCCTCACTTTGGAGGCCCTTGGACACTCGAGACAGGAAGTCCCGCCCCAACGAGGGCAAAGGCCAAAAGAGGAGCAAAGGCGGAGCCGGATCCGAACACACTTCCGGTTGGAGGCGGGAAGGACCTCTGCGGTGCGGCGTCGCCCCGCCGGAAGTGAGGTGGCGGAGAGTAGACACGCTCAACGCTCTCTGGACCCCACTCTGGCGTCATGTGCCTGGTCTTCCGGCGCCCGGAAAACGGGAGAGTTGGGCAGTTTGCAGGCGGCGAGACGTGTTCTCAAGCTAAAGTAGGTTAGCGTATTAAAAACGGCAGAAACCCCATGTAGGTGAAGAAAGTGCAGTGTTCACTACAAGTGGAGTACGGAAAGGGGAAGGCAATTTGCGCAAATACAAGCCCAACTTACCCTGTCACGGTCTACCGGGCTGGGTGGGGTCCATTCTTGTTTTCGGAAAGGACCGAGGCGTTGAAGAGGGGTCTTGGTGCCAGTTTCCCCGAGATTTCCAGAACACTTTTTAAAGAAATCGGCCCTGGGCTTCACAAGATGGGTTTTACTCCCCTTAGTTCGTATGCCTACTGTTTCTCGAAAGGCAGGACAATTTCTGGAATTTCTACCAGGCGTTTGCTTGATAGTCCAGCAATAATTTCCCGTCACTACAGTCTCCACTAATATGTGCTTCAAAGTATAGTTTTTATTAAAATGCACGCATTTAAAATATTCTCAAACTGGTTTGTGTAATTTCAATTAATCTTTGCTAGCAGCCAAATACAGTCACATGTTCTCTTTGCCAATCCCTACCCATCCTTGATTCCTTTCTAGGTGTAATTACAAATCGTTACACTCTTCAGTAGGATACAGTAAATAGAGTTCAGGAACTTGATAGCTGGAATTCTATAGATAAGGCCCAGGAAGTTAACTGATAAGAGTGACTAGCTGAGTCAGTCACGGCGCCAGGAAGATCTCTGGTGTCTGGGAGCCAGGATTAGATTCAGTTCCCAACATAACGTTTACTACGTTGCATCACGATTTCCTATTTGCTATGTGTCTCAGTAGACTAACTTTGAGGTCAGAGACCGTTTATATTCATCTCTCTATCCCCAGTACCTATCATGGCTGGCACATAGGTTGTCCAATAAAGAATTCAGATCCTCTGACTCTTGGCTCTGGCCGCAGGTTGCTGCCTATCCCATACAGGTGGAGGTGGGCACCGGGATAAAGTCCCAAGGCCTGAAAGCCCAAGGAAATGGCTGTCCAGTCTGTCTAGTGTACATGTGGAAAATCTAAATGCTTAAGATGACCCCAGAATCATTCTGCGATGAGAACTTTGAATTGGAGGGTGGGAGTGTTGGGCAGTTATTACTGAAATCATTTATATACAACTCAAATGTCCCCCCACTACCTTACAGATACAGATGAGGTTATGTAAACAGGCAAATTTTGCTAACTCCATAGCTGGTTTCTCATTTGGGTAACTAAGCTTCATTTGTAAGGTTCCCTTTGCCATCTGGTCGCTCAAGAAGTCCACGGACCCTAGGCCCCACTCACACTTTTGCTGCTATTCCATCTCAGCTCCTCAGACAACTACTCTGTCACCCTCCCACTCTCCCGCTGCTCCAAGCCCCTGGGGCTTACCTTCCTCTACCACTATGAAAGTACTCTCCCTGCTCTGTGGTCTGCCTTTTGAAGGGTCTCGGAGCAACACTAAGCCAAAAGGTGTCACGTGGCTCACTCAGACCACTCTTTCACATTTAGCTGACTCCTCCCCAGGATGTGCATTTGCCACCACAGTAGAGGCATCAAGGGAAAATTTCAGTGTGGTCAGCACAGTGTGCCTGGAACCACCACTATTCTACCCTCAGACCTTTTGCTGATTTCTGCTCATAGAACCCAGTAGCTTCTCCCCCCATCATGAATTTTCTCCCAGGCGACAGAAGGTTCCCTTTCCCTGCTAGGTTCACCAGGTACTGCCCTTGCTACATATATTACATTTTATTATATTATATATGACATAAACTGTTACCACAGGTAAAGAGAATGAATTCTGAGAACTCCAAGGACCACTTCATTTAACCATCCCTCAAAGTGTAACTCAGTTTTTACCTCCAGGAAGTTTCCATCTGCACCAGATAGAAATTTCTTCTCCCTCTAAACTTCAGCTCCACATTGTATTTATGAATAATTGGCCTTATGATTAAGGCCTCATATCACCTTAATTACCATCTGCCTATGAAGCCTCTCATATTATTTTTACTTTATCATCTCACCTAGAGAGCTCCTTCATGCTAGGGAGCCTGTTGTAAACATTTTCTTATCTCCCACTGCTGTACACAGTAAATGCTCAAGAAGTATCTGATAAATATTAAATGAGTGATTTATAATTGTACCCCTTTGCTTCACCCACAACATCTTACCTCGGGATGCAGTAGGATTACGTTAAGTGAAAGCATCTTTAGATGCATGAGAAGATGGTTTTTTAATGTAACTGTGTTGCTCTTGTTCATAGTGCAGGGGTAAAGGGTAGGGAACTATCCTCTTCAGAACTGACCCAAAGGAGCCCATTGAATGTTTTTCTCTTGGGAATTTTGGGCTGAGAGACAGAGCCTGGCTGTCTCTGGAACTGCACAGAGCAGCACTCCAGAAACTATCCAAACCCTTGTTGATATTCCTGAAACTGCTCTGCTTTCTACCCTTCCAACTACTCGGAGACGCCCTCATATCCTTCTAAAAAGTTCTTTTGCTTAAACCAGCTAGAGGTGGTTTCTTTTCTTTTCCGTTAGGAAAACCTGATATAACAGCAGAATAAGGTGGCACATTGACAACATCACACAGATGATACTCCCCAAATAAAGGAAAATCATTACTTGTGTTATCCAAGTATCCCACTTCACTCAAATAAATTGAATTATTTTCTTTCCTTGAAGAAAAGTGTGGCTTCTAACTCTCTGAGGAAGAAATGGTAAGTTTGAGACCCAGATATTATTAACAACAAACAACAACAACAACTTCAAAAGTTATGGAGATAAAAATTATTTTCAAAACCATACATTTTACATGTCATTACACACCATCCTCATACCATCTACGCAGAGGTAAACAAATAACTGTAAAATCTGAATAACATTTGCTGTACTTAAATACAAAGATGTTCTTATTAACTCTTCAAAAGGCAGGTGAGAATTTGCATTGATCCAATTCTTACAGTCTTGTCCAGTCCCCCTTGAAGTCAACGTCTGGGCAGTCTGTAAATAGGATTTAGTTAAGCCTGCTGTCCCCATCCATCCATCCATCCATCCATCCATCCATCCATCCATCCATCCTTCCAACATTCTTCTGTGCATCCTTCTGTGTGAGGCATTGTGCTGGATAATGGAGAAATCAGGGTAAGTAAAACATGATTCCCACCCATGAAGAAGCTCACAGAACAGTAGGAGAAACAGTCAAATAACTACAGTGCAATGTGACATCATATAATACAGGCATGAGCGAAGTATTATGATAGCCTCTAACTGCCTAGAGGAATGAAAACAAGGATTCTGAAAGATGATGCTTGAGCTGGATCTTGAAGCAAAGTAGGAAACACTCCCAGGGAAATGCACCTTCAGCTCCTAAACCAAAGGACAGAAAATTTTGCTCCTAGTTTAGTGAGAAGAAAATTAAAATGGAATGATAATATCTACCAGGGCCTCCTATTGATTAGGCAAAACCACAGTACAACTCAGAAATCTGGACTGCTTAACGCCAGACTTATAGCACCTAAAAACACAGTCCCCATGAGGTTTTTTTTTTGCGGTACGCGGGCCTCTCACTGCTGTGGCCTCTCCCGTTGCGGAGCACAGGCTCCGGACGCGCAGGCTCATTGGCCGTGGCTCACGGGCCCAGCCGCTCCGCGGCACTTGGGATTTTCCTGGACCGGGGCACGAACCCACGTTCCCTGCATCGGCAGGCGCACTCCCAACCACTGCGCCACCAGGGAAGCCCCTCCCATGAGTTTTTAATACTCAAAAAAATCCAATTTTAAACACCTGCCTTATTCTATGCAATGATCTTACCAGCAGGTCCTCTAAGAAGGTCCGTAGGTTTACAATTTTGTGAAAGGGAGTTTAAAAGGCCCAACACATGTTTCACAAGTGGAATAAAGTCCCTGATTTTATATAACTGAATCTCACATTTACTAATTTTGAAACCAGTTAATACCAAACAGTTCTTAAAAGGCAAAGGCAGGGCTTCCCTGGTGGCGCAGTGGTTGAGAATCCGCCTGACGATGCAGGGGACACGGGTTCGTGCCCCGGTCTGGGAAGATCCCACATGCCGCGGAGCGGCTGGGCCTGTGAGCCATGACCGCTGAGCCTGCGCGTCTAGAGCCTGTACTTTACAACGGGAGAGGCCACAACAGCAAGAGGCCCGCATACCGCAAAAAAAAAAAAAAAAAAAAAAAAAGGCAAAGGCAAACAGTTGATTTCTCTGTGGAAAGTTTGGGCCTAAGGGACGAGGCTGGTTCTGTGTCATGAGACTATGTGGGTTTTTTTTGTTTGTTTTTGTTTTCTAAATTTATTTTATTGATTTATTTTTGGTTGCACTGGGTCTTCATTGCTGCGCACGGGCTTCCTCTATTGTGGCGAGTGGAGGCTACTCTTCGTTCTGGTGCGTGGGCTTCTCATTGTGGTGGCTTCTCTTGTTGCGGAGCACAGGCTCTAGGTGCGTGGGCTTCAGTAGCTGTGGCACACAGGCTCAGTAGTTGTGGCTCACAGGCCCTAGAGCGCGGGCTCAGCAGTTGTGGCGCACAGGCTTAGTTACTCCGCAGCATGTGGGATCTTCCTGGACCAGGGCTTGAACCCCTGTCCCCTGCATTGTCAGGCGGATTCTTAACCACTGTGCCACCAGGGACAGACTATATGGGTTTTAATCTAAAATTTTTTCTTCATTTTCAACTATGTTAGGGAGAACAGCCTGAGATTAAACTACTATCCAAATGTCTTTTTCAAAAGGGAAAAGGAAGCACTCCAACATGGATTTGCGCTAAAACAAACATCTCCTATATAAGTAAGTGCTAAAGTTGAATGTTCTAAACTCCCAACTTAACACCATTTCACACATGAAGACTCCTTGAGATCCCTGCAAGCATGGACTACCGCCAACTCAAGGAGGAAAAATATTAAGGGCGTGTGAAGAATGAGGAAGAGATGCTGTTTTATGCACAGTTCCTCTAAAAAGTAAGGACCATCTCCTAAATTTATTAAGAGGTTTTTATCTCTTCTTTTTGAAAGAGAACATAAAGAAGGGTGTGAAGGTACAAAAAGGGAACTTGAAATCCAATTGCAAAAATTGCTCATGCAATTGGCCCCCTTCTACGTGGCTTTATAGAAATCTCCTGAGTACCAAAGAGTTTAGGCTTTGACAAAAGAGATCTCCTACATCATGGCATGGCACACTACTGCTTCCTTAGACCTTTTAGGAAATAATCCCCAAGTATTTTTCACAAACCCTAAAGGGCTTTCTACATTAAAATATAGTGACAGAAATCAAGAGTAGAATAACTGCAGAACTGTGGTGATGAGTTGTACTAGTTCCAAAGGATTGACTTTCTACTCCAAACAATGAGACAAAGGGCATCATCCCATGGGCACAGTCAGTTCCAAAGTGAGGGACATACACATGTGGATGATCTGAGGCACAAGCTGTGATTGGTCCTAAGAAAATGAAAGGCAGAGTCGGGTTCAAAACCCACATCTCATGATTTCTGGTCCTTATTCAGCCAAAGTGTTGAGCTGCTTCATATCTGTATTAAACATATTTTGGATCTTTCTCGAAAGTTGCTCTTGGTGCAGCATGATAAGGAAAACCAGGTATTTGGCTTGGTAACAGTATCCAAGGTATAGGTGTCACACTCACAGTGAGCTTCTCACCACAGGATGTCTGAGATCTGCTGCCATAGAGAGGACTATGGCTCAATGATGACTACTAGAGTTCAGTTTTCAAAATTTTGGGAATAATCTGATCATAGCCTTTCCTTCTTGTTACATTATAGGACAGGAATTTAGAGTATTCAGTCAACAGGTTCTCCCAGTAACAGGTGATGTCATCCATCTGCAAGTGGTTCAGAATAAACTGGCTTCCCCTAGAGACAAGATTAACAAGAATAAAGCACACCATTGAATAATACTAGTAGCTTACACTTGAGCGTTTTTACCTGTGCCGAGCACTGTTCAGAGTACTTTATATAAATTAACTCTGATCTTCAGAACCAACTCTATAGCCATCATATCCACACACATGCATTTGGAAATAGACATGATTTTTTTTTTTCTTAAAAACAAATATGTAAACAGCCAATCCTCAGAAACAGTACTTGAATGACTTCAAAGATTTCAGTCTAACTCTACAAAGTATGGGCTTGGGACATATGTGAATGTGTGTTTTCCCCCAAGACAGCTTTGATTCTGATCATCTCTGTATAATGAGGCTGAAATTCAGGTATCACCATGGTAACAGCATTCTTATGACATTAGCTCAGGCAAAATGGGGATGATAAAGTGGAAAAAGAAAAATGAACAGAACTTACCTTTCAGCAATTTCTTGAGCTACATCATCATTTGCTTTTACAAACTGCAACAGCTCCCTAAAATGGAAAGAATTATTAGGCTCTGAAATACAGACCAAGCTCATTAGTACTAAGTCAGAGAGATCACAGAGTGAGGTCCATAGTTAATCTCTAGATATGTGGATGGTGAATTATTTCTTTTTTACAGCAAAGATAACAGGTCCTCACAGGAACAAAATAATAACAACAACAGCAACAACAAATATCTCACACACAGGCAGAAGACAATGTTGTAGTTCCGGAACATATTTGGAAAAATAGAGAAATGTTCAATGATACACATCAAAAATCAATAGTAAAGAAAAAAATTTCCCTCCTGTTTCTTGCTCTGGCCCCCAGAAGAGGGCGCTGAGCTTACATTTCTGGCCCTTCTCCATTCCTCATCCTAGCCCCTCCCTCCATGAGAGGAAACTTGCCTCCGTTTCACTGAGGTCAATTTTCATGCTGTATCTGAAAGTCCTTTTGACAATGTAACACAACTGAATACCCATATCTCTAGTCTTTGAGAGATTAGAGCTTTTTCACTGCATACTGTCTGAATGTTACATTTTAAATCAGCATTAGAGAACTTTTAAAAATTAAATCCCACTCAGCCTAGTTGGATAATAATGCAATACTATCTTTGAGAACCAAATATGAAAAATAAAAAGCTTTCAATGGAAAAAGTCATCAGGAGTAAATGTCTTAAATGGCTGGGGACTTAGAGGCAGATTGCGGGAGTCATCGGAAACTCTGCTTGGTGGAGAGCTGCTTACTGAACATTGGAGAGATCTGTTTTGACTGGGATATAGTGAACCCATGGCTTCAGCTGTGGATAGAAGAATTCCAGCCACTCGTCACCGACATGGAAAACAAGTGAACCACACAGAAAGAGGTGTTTTAACCGGAAACTTGCAGCTACACCCCGAAAATTAAACAGATACCTGGAAAAGAAAGAGCAAAATATACTTGAAACTATATGCCTACTTCCACAAATATGACCTTTTTTTCTTACTCCCTCTTACCCTTCTTTCCTTTTATTACCCCCTCTCCTTTCTTTTTCCATTTTCAGTCTTCAAGGACACATCAGCATGTCCCTGTGAAGTTTCTATAAACTCCTTGTTGTTCCAGGAGTTAGAGGTTGTTCCTGGGAATATCAGGGTGAGGGGATAAAAGGGATACTTTCTCCAGGGAGAGACTGATAGGGCCAGCAGCTGGGTGCTGGGTACAGCGGATACAAGGCTCAGATGGAAGCAACACCTCACCCTTTGCTACAAGTTTTTCTAGGCCTAAAGTCTTGAACTCATCATGGCCTCCCAAAGCCTTGGTTTTCCCATAGGGTACCCTACCTGGTCAAAGGCATGCCCTGTTCCCTATTCCCTCTTATGAAATCTGGAGAAGACAACCAGGCATACCTAATCAATCTTCAAAGAAATGCCCCCCAGAAAAAAGCTAACTTAGAAAAGAACATTTTCTTTTCAGCATTTCCCATGCATGTACCCCTGTCTCCAACCAGAGCTGCTTCTACCCTATAGTTCCCACTGTGCAGTATAATCAGCATTCATCTCTCTGAATCCCCCCACTGCCCTCCTCCTGACCTGGTTTTACATGTGCATATAATCCTTAGTCCTGGCATTTAAATATAATAGTTACATATGCTTTATTCAGGTTGGACCGTAAATTGTTTTTAATAACCTAATAAATACTTGATCTAACTTCAGCTCTTGGCTGGGCGGGGTGTGGAGAGAAGGAATCCCATCCCTTTGATTACAAGCACGCAAGCTCTTTGGAAGCAGGGACCACATTTCATGTCTCCACAGTTCCCACAGAACCTAGTTCAGAGCCTTGTGCACAGCAGACTCCGAGAAAATAATAGCTAAGTGAATTAATGTGACTTTCACAAACCCCGGCTAGACCCTAGTATTAAAACTCTCACCCAAAGTGAAGCTACTCCAAAAGCAATAGGGAAACTAGGAGAGTCAGGAGTTCTGGAAGTCTTACTTGTATTTGCAGTGATCCACAAGATGGACATCCTTAGCAGCTGGCTTTCCCAAGGTATCCTTTCAGTGAAAAGGAAGTTATTAATACTAGGAGTAGGAGCATTGAAGACCACTGTGCAGTAAGCATTGCTAAACATTTCATCAACATGACCTCATTTAAGTCTTATAATAAACAGACTCAGGAGGCATGATTATCCCACTTTATAGATGAAGCAGCCAAGGCTTTGAGAAGTTGGGAGACTTGCTCAGGGTTGCATGGCCCTAAGTAGAAGAGCTTGGGTTTCAACCTGGTTCTGTCTGATTTTAGAGTTTAAGCTCCCTTGGAACCATGTGAATCCCCTGAACTCAGAGGTCATGGCCTGCAGCACATTTCACTCTGTGTAAATCATACTGCACAGGAGGTTACAAATGGTGGCTGGTGGGCTTAGAGGTGTAGCCCACACACAAATTTTGTTGAGCTCACAAAGTATTTAAAATAAATATTCTAACCACTGCCAACATTTATAGGTGGTAGGGTGTTTCTTACAAAAACCCAGATTTCCAACTTTTCTTGGGGAAAAAAAAGGAAGATTTGGCAAAGAGAGCTCCTATTCCCCTGGGCAGCCATGACCGGACCTTCAGCACTCTCTTCTGCTCACTAGTGCAGCCCCTGGGGGTATCGGAGTTTGAGAGCCCCATCTGTATTCCAGCCACGTTAGCAGAGGGTAAACTCAATGAGGGGAACAAGTCTTGTTTGCTTTTGCAGCCTCCCATAGTAGATGCTGGGCTGAATGGATACATTTTTCATATTTTTATTTTTTAACAAAGTTTCTTAGACTGCATTTGCTCCTGTTTGAATTAAGCAGTCACATAATAAATACATGCAGCTTTACTTAGTATTTCTTAGTTTTTACTTAGTTTTTATGACAAGAAGTTTAAACATTTTTCTCATATCATCCTCATATGGTATATGGAAATTTCAGATGAGGACATTTAGGGCTTAAGGTTCTTTGAATAAGGCAAGAAAGAGTTAAGAGGATAGAGATGGACTTCAAACCAAAGAAGCCAGTCATTGCTTTCACCTTAGAATGAAAGGCGAAAGGGAGTTTTAAACAAATGAAGATGCTTATATGTCATTTCCAAAGATTCTGATTCATTCTATTCATTTTTAAGTTCTCTAGTTGGATTGTATAGTCGGGGTTGAGAACCACTGGTTTAAACCAGGGGTTGGCAAACATACAGACCACAGGCCAGATCCAGCCCACTGCTTATTTTTGTACACAACACATAAACTAAGATTATTTTTACCTTGCAAATGGCTGGAAAAAAATCCAAAAGAGAATATTTGATGACACAGGAAAATTACATGAAATTCAAATTTCAGTGCCATAAATAAAGTTTCATTGGAACACAGCCATGCTCATTCATTTACATATTGTCTACGGCTGATTTCACACTGCAATGGCAGAGCTGAGTAACTACAACCCAGACTCTAGAATCTGCAAAGCCTAAAACATTTACCATCTGGTCCTTTACACAAAAAGTTTGTGACCTCTGTTTAAACCTTCAAAATTGTATAAAATACAAGTCATAATATGGGCCAGAAAAGCAATGTGAGTTTGAAAAAGGATAATTTACATATATGCTAATTTTAGTCCATGGAACTTTCTCTATATTCATCCCAACACTGAGAGGAAACCTAATCTCAAATTCTACCCAGGTGGCAACGTTCTTTGAGTGAGAATGTTCACTGCTGTAGTTCTAGTCAGATGATTGGTGATTACTTTCATAGATTTCCAGGCCTGGTTTTTGGTGTATTCTGCATCAACAAGTTTTGGACTTTTCCGAGATAGAAGAATGAGAGGATCTCGTTCTGGACTTGTCCTATAAAAGAAACACATGACATAAAACTATGTGTCCTACACCATAATACTGTTCTCAATCTCTGAAAGGGAAGCAGTAATCGGACCCAATGAAAAAGACTGTACACACTGATGGACAATTCATTGGTTACTTTAATAGAGAAGGAGGGGGATACTAGATCCTACAGCAACTAGGAGGTCCTGGGCTGTTCTCCACTTTACCCTTCAGGGAAGGGGAGTATTTGGCCCTTCTTTGCTTGCATTCTAGTCTTTAGGATTATGTTGTTCTGGGCACTATAGCCATATCCCAGGGAATTATTTCCCTTTTCGAAGATTCATGTAACCTCTAATCACTGGTACTCATAGCTGTGTGACTAGGTAATCACCACTCACCAAAACAGCTACGTGACCTTTGTGGGGTGTGCTTTGTAAAATCCAGTATAATATTTAAATTAAAAAGAAAACTGAAAGGCTCAAACACCTGAAAACTGCATGTAGAAAAAGTCCTAGTTATGGTCCTAGTAGCAGATGGTCTTGACATTTGAGGGGTCATGGATCCCCTGAGAATCTGATGAGAACTGTGGACCCCCTCTCTAGAAAAATGCACATATCCCCATATAATTTCAAGGAATCCCTAAAACTCCTGAAGTCCACACATGGATCCCAAGTTAAGAATCTGATCTGAAGATCTGAGAACCAGAGAGGTTGATAAGGAAGCGTAAGCAGTTGCTGTTGGGCTGAAGTCCACTGCGAGTGAAGAGAGGCTGTGACCTCGGACAAGGATGCTCTGAGAAAACTGCAAAACTCTCTCCCTAAACATTCTCTTTTGTATTCATCTAACAGGTACTCATTCTGCATCTATGTGGTGGGTACTGTTCTTAGCACCAGGGATATGGAGCTGAACAACATGGACAGGGTCCTTCCCCAACCTTTTCTCTTTCCCTCTTCCTCCCTTCCTTCCCTGCTTCCCTCTCCATTTTCACCAGTCTCAGTCTGCGCTTCCACCACTATTTGGCAGCCACATGGTCTGATGAAAAAGGCAGTCAGAAGAGCTGGTGATGGTTCCCACTCAGCCATTAAGTGGCAGAGGGACTGTGGGCACGATCATAAGCTACTCCTAGGAAACTGTAATCTCTCAGGCAAGAGGACAACTCATTGCTCTGTTCAGCATTATATATAGTCAAAGCCCATCACACTCGTGGCACTTTGTAAATATCTGTTGAATGACTGGACAGATGAACTTTACTTCTTGGAATTTCAGTTCAACTTAGAGTGATTTGGGCAAATAATTTGAGTTCTTCTCTAGTCTAAAATTCTGTGATTCTATGTTTATTTCTTAGTTATCTTAGCTTTCTCTTTAAACTAGGGTTCCTCACACCCTCAAAATTACTTATATTTTGCACATTAACTGGAAAAATACTTTTGTAAAATGTCAGAAAGTATAATCACCTTGATCCTCGGAAATATGCTGTGGAATTTTTCTTTTTCCATGGCCACTGTGCTGCTGACCTAAAAATAGATTTCATTAGTTTCTATGTTTCTTCCTTAACTATATAAGGATGACTTTGAACCATTTCTGAAGATTAGTTGAGATCTTCACATTGTGAAATCAGTCTGATCCAGGCTACTCCAAAGAAAAAGCTCTAAATAACATTATGTTCCCTTTTGTTATTACTTCATTCCTATGGAGATGCTGGCAAGCAATATCTGCAAATCTACAGTTTGGTAAAATAAGTTAACAACATTGAAAGAAAAGTTCCCAAAACTAAGTGACATGTTTAGGGCTATTTAATTCAGTACAAGGAGGATTTCTTCCCCACTTTAATTAGAGTCTATTGATAAAATTAACAGGCAAAGACAACTGCAGAAAATATCAGAAACTGAATTAAGGGCAAGGAAACAAATCACTTCCTGACTTCATGTTTTAGATGCATAGGAGTTATCATCAGATTTAGTCTGATTTTCCAAAGCACCTGGTATCCCCAGAACTGTACTTAGTGCTCCATAAAGACGAAGTCCCTGAAACTCAGGTCTCAGCACCCATTACCACAGCCAGCCTTCCTTGCTGAAACTGCTAGTCCACAGATGCATCATTCTTAACTTACTTTGTAGGAACCCTTCACAGAAGTTTGTGTAGAGTCTTCCTCTGAAAAAGGAGGGGGTTGGACTGAACTGGAGTTAATGAGGGATTTGTGAGCTACTTGCTGTAATGGAGAGATTTAGAACATAAACTTTTCAGGTAGAGATACTTCTCAGATTCAGATAGTGTCCCATTTTCTCTCAGGTGAGACCACTGCTCCTATTTTCCTGGCTTATCTTCTAGTCCTTTCTTGCTGGATCATCTTTACCCGATTCTCCAGTCCAACTATTTCTCTGTCTCATATTCCCTCCCACCAAAATATAAACACTATAGCAATGGGTTTTTTTGTTTTTTTATTTTTAATGAAAAAATAGTATATACTCATTATATAAAATTCTAATAGTAAAAAAAATTCATCTGGAATCTCCCCACTTACAGATAACTACTTTTAACAATTTAATGTTTCAGTGAAGAATTTCCTTCCAATCGTCTCTCCACATCAGTGGTTCTCAGTTGGGGGAGATTTTGCCCTTCTACCCAAGGGGACATTTGGCCGTATATAAAGATATTTTTTGATTGTCACTACTAGGGGATTGCTACTGGCGTTAGTGAGCAAAGGCCAGGGATACTGCTAAAAAACCTACAACGCATAGGACAGCCCCCTACAACAAAGAATGATCTAGCCCCAAACATCAAGAGTACCAAGACTGAAAAACCTTGCTCTATATAACAGAGATCATACCATGCATGTTGCTAGCTAACATTCTTATTAGGACATATTATAGATAATAATAAGAGCCAACACCTATATAGCACTTACCATGTTCCAGGCAGTGTTCTAAGTGCTATATAAATATAAACTCATTCTCATGACCTTACAAGGTAGGTTTCATTAACCCTACTTTATAGTTGAGGCCCTTGAGAGGTTAAGCAATTTGTCTAGAGTCACACAGCTAATAAGAGCCAGGGTTTGAACCCAGAGTCCCTGTTTTTAAGTCCTATGCTACCTTTACTTTCCATTCATGCACAGTATTCCATTTTATAACCATGTCGTAATTCACTTAATTCCTTACTGGTGGGCTTTCAGGTAGTTTTAAACTTTTTTCTTTAAGAAACAACACTGAAGTGAATATCCTTGTACACACATCTTTGCATGCTTGTCTAATTATCTTCTTAGGATAAATTCTTGAAGTAAAATTGCTGGGTCAAAGGACATAAACATTTTACATTTTCATATATACTGCCAAACTACCCAACAAAAAATGCATCAATTTATACTGAAATTTTGAGCATAAACTTCCTTGGTCCCTGGGGAAAGCCGCAGACACAGACTTGAACCAAGTATCATCTCTGTTTTCTCTCTCCCTCATTCTTCCTACCCACCTACCCACCCCTCAAATGACCCATGTCTCCCGGCAAGCACTAACAGTGGCCACCATAGCTTGGTGCTTCCCCAGCCCTCTTTTATAACCCCACCCCTCCGCTGACCATAGAGTGAATTCTTTAAATGCACAGGGACACTGAATTCTTCCACACAGTGAAAAGTAAGTCAATGGGGACAAACTCCCCAAAGTTTATAAAAATAGGAAAATGCCAGGCAGACATCAGTGTAGATAAGCAAGTAGATTACTAAAGTTTAAAGGTGAGAAATGAAATCATGGGGCTAGAGATTCTGAACGGAGGGCTCTGAAAAATAAAATTGCAATTCTATAATCATGAATAGATTCAACTGAAGAATAAAAGGGGAAGGTATCAAAAGAAAAACAAATTCACTTAAGATTAGATTTTAAAACATATGCTACCTCCCTAAAAATTGCTTATTAGTTTACAAGGGCGGTAACTACACAGTAGAGGAACCTGATATAACACCTTGACCAGGTGATCAAAATTAACATCTCTAACGAGAGGTGGATACACACAAAATCATTTATGTAAGTATCTGAGCCAGCAGTGCATAAACTGAATCTAATCATGAGGAAATAGACAAAACCAACCTGAAGAGCATTCTATTAAAAATGTTCAGTGTCATTGTATCAAAAATGTTCAGTGGCCTGTATTCTTCAAAATGTCAGAGTCACGAAAGAGAAAGACAGACTGAAGAGCTACTGCAGATTAAAGATTAAAGAGACATGAGGACTAAATACAACACATGATGCTGGATTGGCTCCTGTACTGGAGGGGGAATGTGCCTTATGGGACATTATTGGGACCACTGAGTATTAAATTAATATTGTTTCCTCTAATTGACAATTGCAATGTGGTTATAAAAGAGAACACTCTTGCTCTTAGGAAATATGCATGAAAGTATTAAGGGGTACAGGGTCATAAGGTATGCAACATATTCTCAAATAGTCCAGAAAACAAGAAATTATGCATACATTACACATGCAGCCTACAAGTCCATCAAAGGACACAATAAATTAAATTATTATCCGATGGAATACCATGCAACTGTTTAAAATAATGAGGTCATTTCATATGTACTGACATGGAAAGATTTCTAAGACACCAATAAGCGGGGAAAAAGTTGCCTAAGTTGGACACATTTATAAATTTTTATGAGCATGTAAAGGTTTCATATTCAGAAAAAAATTGTTTTTAAAATGATTTTAAAAACAAAATAGATGTACAGCAGGTGGGAAAAGAGCTACAAAAAGAAGAGTGTGAAAAGGGTATTTGCAAGAACCTGAAAAAACAAAAAAAGGGTTAGAAAACTAAAGTCAGGAATAACTTGGAGACAAAAAGGTTTAAGACATTTTTATTTTTCCCTCTCTCAAAATTATGTTCATAATGAAATGCTAAGTAAGAAATGATGGTCTCAATGTCTGGAGAACATAGGAAATATTAAGTAGTCAAGTGGAGAGAATAATGCACTTGGAAACCTAGACTTCAGGCCTAAATTGGTTCCTTGACCAAGTCACTTAACCTCTCTGAGCCTGAATTCCCTCATCCCTGAAATAAACAGTTGGACAAGAACAATTTCCAGGTCCAGTTCTATGAAGTATGAGACCAAGTTATCTTAAAAAATAACTTCCTAATTATACCTACTGAATAATAAACTTGTTTCTTTACCCAGTGGCTCTAGCTGCCACTGAGGACTGCGGCCTTATATGCTTCTCCAGAGAAGGGACTTTCTCTTCATCTCATTTAAATCTCCAGTCACACTTAGTACAGGTGATAGATATCTGTGGAAATGAAGCTGAATTAAACTACTGCTTTCCCTACATCTGAGAGAATACCTAGAAAGGTGTGTTTTTAGAAGTTTGCTCATTAGGTACCGACGTTGTTGGAATGATTCATGTAAAATGTAGCTAGGTAAGAAGTACCTACAGCTTGATGACCTGGACAATCTAAATTCTGAAATAATGGCGGGGTACAGTCAACAGGCCAAGGCAGGTTTCAATCGTGAATTAGAGAGTATTTGGAATAAGCTTGTACTTGAGATATCTATGGGACATTTATACCCACACCATCCCTGCCTGAAGGACTTAGCTCTTAATTACAAAGTACATTTATGTGCTTCCAAGTAATTTTCTATCCTTCCCCACAGTATGGTCATTCACTTTTTCCTACTTATGAAAGTAACTCACTCTTATTTAGAGAAACTTAACAGTACAGAAAACTTTCAAGAAGAAGAGGCTTCTAGAATCCCTCCCACAGAAGCATTGCTGACACTTTAGGGTAAGTTCTTTTGCTCTTTTTCTATGGATATGTAAATATTTTTATACACATACAAAATTGCTTATGCTATAGTTTTTTGTCTTTCAGTTTTAGCTTAAAAGTTAGTCCTTAAAAAAAAAAGTTAGTCCTTTTAAACAAAATTAATTGTTTATACTTTACTGTTTACTTCAAGACGACCCACAGAAGGATAAATAAAACCTCTCTAAAGGACCTACCTTACCAGGTCTTCTCTGAAGAGGTCCCACCGTCCAAGACCGGTAGGATATATTGGCCAAACAGCGGGTCCTCCTTCCCAAAATGTCCAAGCAGGATACATGATATCATGGTACTCTGATGTCTTCAACAGAAACAGAGAGGTTATTCTAAGTCAGTCTCAGAGCAGAAGAAGCAGCAGCAAACTGCATTCATGCCACGGGATCTGGAAAAGGCCTTGCCCCAGTGTTATATTGTCAAAGATATATTTTCCCTAGTCTTCAAAGTCTAGACTCTAGATGCTAAAAGGCAAAAATGACCATGGGTTAAAATTCGTGGGCTGACTGAACCCCAGAATACGAAATCACACTAAAGGTCAACTTTTCCAGTTCCCCAAAGTTCTGTTTTTCTAGAGGACATACACTGTTGGAGTTTTTAGTTTAGGGAAATAATATACCCAATTCTGAATGATCACATAGCTGTCTCATCTTTTAACTGATATTACACTCGGAGTGTATACTATCTTACCAGTTCTTAGTTATTTCCTAGATAGGTCTTTTCGGAGCAAGAATTAGGAAACATAGTGCAATAGTTGAGAGTGTGGGCTCTTGAGAAAGATCATCTGACTCCACCTCTTTCCAACTCTAGGCAAGTTACTTAATCTTTCTATGCTTCAGTCTCCTTACGTTTATAACTGGATAAATAATAATATCAATAATATTACCTATCTAATAGGCTTGTTTTGAATATTAAATGAGTTAGTACATGTAAAAAACTTAGTGTCTGACACAAAGTAAACACTCAGTAAGTGTTAGTATTACCTATTACTGTGGCACTGCTGAGCTCCCATTGGTTGGTCAATAAATTGTGAGTTAGTTTTTGGTTATTTTTCTTTTTTGATCAGGGTCAAAAGTAGTGATGGGCAGAATGCGCGGGGAGGGGTGTTATCCCACATCTTTTGAAAAGAGTTTGAAGCCATTTGTTCCCTTTACATGGTAACTTCTCTTAAAATTCTGGTCACTGATAAGCCTCTAATTCTACTGTTTCTTCCATTGGAATTACATATGCAATATGCTGTTTGTCTTCTTTCAAATATTTAAAAAATGGTATGTGATTTATCAAGCACCTCAGGCATAACAGCTGCTCAAAAGAAACTGCACATTTATTATAAAGCTGACAGACTAAAATCCCTCCCTCGCAAACTAAGAGTCACTGGTTCAGAAAAAAAAGGGAGGGGATTAAAGATGAAACGAAAGTTAGTATACTGATGGTCATACTTATTATCCACAGAAAAAACAGATAAGTAATAAACACAAAGTCCTTACTGACTTACATGGGAGCCTCTATCTGTTCTTCTGAGAGGGCTTCATGAGAAATAACGGGACCAAGCACTTTTGAGAAATGAGGCTAAACCATGGGAAATGCAACACAAATGTGGCCTCAGCCCACTTGCAACACAGGAAATAAACAAGTCTAGAGAGAAAGTAAACTGTGATAAAGAAAAAGTGGGGATAAAAAGTTCCTCTGCTTTGGAGACACCAAATCAGAAATGGAGTTATTTTCTCAAAGTTCAGAGGGTTTTCTTAAACCCACTCTTCTCCTATAGAATCTCCCATCCACTCTCTTCTAGCCTCCCCCATCCCTGCCCCCAAATGCTTTCATATTTAGTCTCTAGGGAATGAAGGCCCATTCCTGCTAATACACCATTTACAAGAACCTGAGCACTAAGATATTCACTGTCCCAAGTTCCTCAAGCCCACAAGTGTGTCCTAGTACTCCTATCTCTCCATGATTAGATCCAAAGATCACCCCCTCACATATCCCTCTCGGGTATCGCCGGCATATCCCCTCACTGCATTGCTGGGGTGCAAACTGTGTGAAGTTATCTAGCACCTTCAGTCTCACTGTTAGCCAGGCTGGGACCCTGGGCTACAGTGGCCGGACAGACGATACCTAATACTATGGTTGATACATGCAATGTAGAAGCTCAGCAAATCTTTTCTTTGAATGCAGGCTTTCCCTAACTTCAAGCCCATGAGTTTTCTTGGGCCACTCTCTCCCATGCTCTGTAGGATCTCTGAATCCCACCTCCAATGTCCTAGAGGTTCCTCAGGCCTCTCTCATTCCCTACCCTCTATCCCTAGCCCTATAGACACAAGCAACCTTACTCACATCACTTATGGGTCCTCAACCCCATCTGCTCAGTCTTATCGTTCAATGACTGTGAAGCTAACAGGGACACAGACCCACTTTTGGACCTCAGGCCTCATCCTCACCATCACCCATCAGACTCTGCCACAGTCATCTCCTGCTTATATGCTAGAGGACCACCCTCCATCCCCTCATATGGCTCTTCCTATACTTACCTTACTGAAGGAGAAGACTGGAATGGCAGGCTCCATCCATTTAGGAACCTGAGGATAATCTCGTACATTGATCACCATCTCCATGTCAGGGAGGCGCCCAATAACTTCCAAAATAAAGTGTTCAACACCACTACACCTGTCAACCAGAAATACCACAACTTCACCAGAGCAGTGCCTGCTCTCGGACAAGGCAGGGTCCCGCTTACACTTTCAAAGTAAGACAAGCCAGTGTTCAGATAATCAGCCTCCTGCAAAGTGTCCTGAGAGCAATGCTCCTGAAAGGACTACTCCACTCTTCCATATGGTGCCAGTTACCTTTTCTGGCTAAGCTGCTCCAGCTTACAATACTTAATAAAATTTTCCGACTAGATCATCCTAAGTTTGAAGGGAGTGTTACTGCTACTCCCACCATTTCCTCTCCTCTTTTCATTCCCAGCATTTCTTTATTTCTCCTACACGGAACAGTTTAATTAGTAAGCAAGATACAAATTTTGATAGGAACTGGAAAAGCTGATTTTCTAATTGTGTCCCTTGGGCTTTGCATCTCACAAAGACATTATTTTTATTTCCACCATAACTAAGTCTCATAGTTTATGAGGAAGGATAGGAAACCTTTCATTACCTTCAACCTGAATACAGAACACTATTAAAATCAGTTTTGCAAGCCAGAAAGAGTGCCATGTATATAATCACAAAGACTGTAATATTGCTTTCAGAATAGACTTCCTGGGAATTCTCAGAGGATTTCTGGAAAAAAAGTGAGTATACACTGACAGCTAACTTTTCTTCCCCATCCTCTGAGGTCCTGACCAGCACTATACTGGGGGGGCAACATTCCAAGGCCTAACCAAAATTTTCTGGCAGCATGAAAATGACTGATTTAAAATATTGATTTATACACAGGGTGATAACTACAAAAAATATCAATAGTTCATAAACATAAGAAAAGATGGTCAACTGTACTACTATAAGGAAATGCCCCCAAAGCCAAACTTATAAAAACAGAGAAAGTGCTTAACAGAGGCTGGGGAATAGGGGGAAAGGACAGATGTTGTTTAAGGGTACAAACTTACAGTAAGCAGTAAATAAGCCCTAGAGATCTAATACACAGTGTACTGAGTATAGACAACAAAATGGTATTATAATTACCAAACTTGCTAAGAGACTAGAACTTAATCATTCCCACTACTATAAAAGAGAATAATTATGTAACGGGATAGAGGTGCTAATTATCACAATAGCAATCATATGAAAATAAATGTATCAGATTAACATGTTGTACATCTTAAATTTACACAATGTTATATGTCAAGTATATTTCAATAAAAAAATTAAGTATCACCATGACAAAAGAAAAAATCTAGTGAAGCTAGATGCCAGTTTTCATCAATCAGATTGTCAAAGATCAAAGAGTCTGATAATACATAGTGAGAGTGTGAGGTCTATTCTGAGCACCTGATACAAGGCTGGTGAAAGTGTAAACAGGCACAACCTCTTTGGAGGATATTTGGTTCTATTTATCAAGATTTTAAAAACACATTAATTGGCCAATTAATTTTACTCTTAGGAGTTTAGCCTGCAGATGTATTCACATGAGTGTTCAAAGGTCTAATTTCAAGGATGTTTACTGCATCATTGTTTACATTAGTCAAAAGTGAAAGGGGAGGACCTCCCTGGTGGTGCAGCAGTTAAGAATCCACCTGCCAATGCAGGGGACACCGGTTCAAGCCCTGGTCCGGGAAGATTCCACATGCCCGTGGAGTAACTAAGCCCATGCACCATGACTACTGAGCCTGCGCTCTAGAGCCCATGAGCCACAACTACTGAGCCTGCACACCTCAACTACCGAGCCCAAGCACCACAACTACTGAAGCTCACGTGCTCTAGGGCCCGCGTGTCGCAACCACTGAGCCTGTGTGCTGCAACTACTGAAGCCTGCGCACCTAGAGCCTGTGTTCCGCAACAAGAGAAGCCACCGCAGTGAGAAGCCCATGCACTGCAATGAAAAGTAGCCCCCGCTCACTCCAACTAGAAGAAGTCCATGCACATCAATGAAGACCCAACACAGCCAAAAGAAAAAAAAAAAAAATTAAAGGGGAGTGGTGGGGAAAAATTTAAGTGTCCATTGATAGAGGACTCAATAAAGAAATCCATACAATGGGTTTTTATGCAGCTATGAAAGAGTTCTCTATGTACTCCTATGGAAAAATTTCAAAATCTACCGTTACAAGGAAAGGAAAAGTAAGTTGCAGAACAGAAGATATAGCATGTTCTAGTTTGTTGATGAATCTAGATAATTGTATATGCAGAGATTATTTCTGGCAGGCTGTAAAAGAAACTGGTAATTGTAGTTGTCTCTTGAGAGAAGGACTCAGGGACTAGTGGTCTGGTGGAGGGGGGTGTACGGTGGTAGAGAAACTTCCTTTTCATTGTACATACTTTTGAGTTATCCAAATATTTTACCATGTGCATGTAACACTCCTTTTTTCTCTTTTCTTTTGAACACTTTACTGGAAATACGAGCAGATGCAATAAAGCAAGAAGAATATTAAAGATATATAATAGGAAGAGAAAATTTTAAACTGACTTTATTTGTAGATCCATGATCATCTATGTAGAAAATTTTAAGTAATCTAGCCAAAACCTATTACAGCTAGTAAATGAATTTAGAAATGTAGCATATTTTATATACTAACAATGGCCACATAGAAAATGAAATTAATAAAGTACTATTTACAATAACATCAAAAATATGTAATACCCTGTGATTATTTTGACAAGAGACATTCAAGACCTACATACTAAAATCTATGAAACAATGGAGAGAGTAATTAAAGATGTAAGTAAATGGAAAGATACACCCTATTCATATATCCAAAGACCCAATATTAATTTTTTTACTGAAGTATAGTTGATTTACAATGCTGCGCCAATCTCTACTGTGCAGCAGCAAAGTGACTCAGTTACACACATATATAAACTCTTCTTTTATATTCATTTCCATTATGGTTCATCACAGGATGTTGAATATAGTTTCCTGTGCTATACAGTAGGACCTTGTTGTTTATCCATGTGACACTCCTTTGATACTGAAAAAAATTACTCGTTAAAAAGTTTTTTAAAAAATGTATTACTGCAGTACATTTACATGTAACAGCTGAAACATTTATTTTCTTTCCCATTCAGCTTTTAAAATAGCACTCTCTCACATACGGTACAATTCTATTTATATAAAACTCTAGGAAATAAGCTATAATGAGAGAAAGCAGATCAGTGGATGCTTGAGGACGGGGGTGGAAGGAAGGCATGGCGGGGAAAGGGGGAGAGAGGGACTGCAAAGAGGCACAAGGCAACTTTTGGTAGTGACAGATATGTTATTTTGGTTATATATATACTTATCAAATTGTACACTTTAAATATGTGCAGTTTATGTCAACCATACTTCACTAAAGCTATTATTTAAATAATACTATTATTCTCTACCTTTGAAATGATGTGACTCCCATATTTTTTTTTGTTTATTTCTGGTTTTTTGGGGGGTTTTTTGCCACGCCACATGGCTGGCGGGATCTCAGTTCCCCGACCAGGAATTGAACCCAGGCCCTGGCAGTGAAAGCCCAGAATCCTAACCACTAGGCCACCAGGGAACTCCCTCCGGTGTTAATTAGACGGTGCTCCAGTTCCTCAGCAAAATCTTTCAGCTCATCCTTGAAAGGCTGAGTTTACATTTTCTTTTGTTCAGAACTGAATACTTTAAATGTCATAGATGTTTCTCAACCTGGGTGAAGTAAAAGTATCTAGACCTAGAAAGATACTTCTTTTGGCCAGATGAGAGTCTGAGATATTACACAACTGTGTCCATTTCATTAAGGACACTGGTTCTGAATATTTCGTTTTATTTCTCTTTTGTTTAACTCTATTTTCCTTAGTTGTATATGTATTAATCGTTGGAATAGGGAACTTTCAACACATTAGGACCTTTCATTGTCAGTGAAAGGTCCTGTGCTCTCTTAATATTTCTAAGAGCTCATGATTCTGACCAAAAAGCTCTGGGGTCTGGAATAAGAGCCATGTGCCTTTCAGAAACTTTGAGAGTGCTACTTAATTTGATCTGGAGACTGTTCAGCTAACTATTAAAGTCCAACAATGGACTTTCAAAGTCCAACAATGTCTATATTCACATTTTTTTTCTCATTTGTAGAAATTACAAATTCCTCTATGCTCATAATTTGTAGTTAAAGTCTCTATTATTGTTCCAAGTAATGAAACAAATGTCTATTTAAAATACCTCAGTGATTTTCCCCACTACCACCTTATTTGCCCCTGACACTTGATAACCAAAATTATGATTACCTCAGAGTGTGGGATATTAAATGATCTTTATTTTGTTGTTATTGTCCTTGTTTTTACATATTTTACATTACAGTGAAAGTATACTAATTCATAATAAAGTTGTTATTATGAACAAATAATATAAATCCTTATGACCAAATGGATGCATGTTTTTTACAATACTGCTTATTTATTTTACTTGTAATGACATAACATCATTTAGAAAAAAGATCTTAGTAAGGGAATATCCTGCCTTCTGGGTTTTGTACTTTGTAATTTTATAAAGAGTAGAGGTTTTGTTTTGTTTTTTTTAAAGACTCCTGGGAATTCCCTGGTGGTCCAGTGGTTAGGACTCTGTGCTCTCACTGCCGAGGCCCTGGGTTTGATCCCTGGTCAGCCGAGTGGCAGGGCCGGAAAAAAAAAAAAAAGACTCCTAAGAGGAAGGTTTATCACTTGTTGTACATAATGCTGCCTAACGCCAACTTCCAGGCTTAGTCTGTGACCCTCCCTGCTCCCCGCCAGCTCTCAGCCCACTGATATGTAACTTCAGCTCTCACACCTGAAGTCCTGGCCAGTGGAGCCTGCGTAATCTGCAGCACCAGTTATTTCTCTTGCTTTTCCACCACCTTCCTTTGAATACTTGGTATCTAGAATAGTAGTTGGCCCCTGACAGTCAGTCAACGCTTCTCCTCCTCCTTCAGCCCAGCTCACTCATGCTAGGTCTCATCAGCCTGTGTCCTGCAGCTACTATATCTGGGGAAGGAGAAAGGGCAGAGTCACAGCCAGTACAATCAGTGATGTGCCTCAGCCTTACAAAGAGAGAGGAGACAGGCTTTGATATAGGAGAGAGGAGAAGAGAGGTTGGCAAGAAAAATTCCCAGGCAAGCAGAAGAGTTTGTCACTATTTTGTAGTCCTTCTGAAATGTGAGGAAGGGTTTACCTGTAAGTCCCTTTCATTGGGACTTATCAGAAGATATATGTACCTCATAGCTCTTACCTTGAGGGGAACATGCAGTCATTTTCTCGGTATAATCTGTTCTTAATGATCTGATAGTGGGTCCCTAGCTTCCGTCTCACTACCTCCGCCATCATCTTCCTGGAGATACCTCCTCGGAAAGGGGTCAGATCCTCTTCTATGACACTGGGAAAGAATGGGAATCATCAGAGAAGGCAGGCCAAGAGAATAATACCATTCCACCTACTTCGTATCTGTGGGTCTAGGCTTAGTATTAGAGAACATGTAAGCTATGGGAAAGAATAGAGGGCAGGAATGAGCAACCTCTTTCCTGGAAGCACCTTAGGCGATCTAAAATATCAACAACAACAAAACCACAAAAAAGAAAAAGCAAGTCAATATCTCTTCTACCTCCCTCCATCTGGATTGCCCCTCCTTGGCCTGATGCATATTCCTCCTTCACTGCTCATGCCACACCCACGTCCTCCCAGTCACTGCAGTCCCACTGACCTCCCCTTCTTTGAATCTCACAGAAGGTATGGTTTATGCCTTACAGCCTGACACTGTTTGAGTCCCATGTTCTAGTCTGTTTGGCCCCTACCACCCTGCATACTCTAGCAGTATGTATGACTGACAGGAGTAACCAGAAATTACACTATTTTGAATCCCTTTTAAAGTTCAATACATAGCAAGTTTTCAGTAAGTATCACACACATCAGGTGAATTTTTTGAGGAATCACAGAATAACATAATGTGGAGTTAAAGGACCCTGTTATTTAGCTGATGAGGAATCTGAAATCTAGAGAAGTGAAGTGTCTCGGATCTGGGACTTGGATCTGGGACTAGAACCCAAGGCTGATTTCAAAGTAATCTTTCTACCATAACACACTCCAGCCCTAATTTGCATACATTAAAGATAACCAACAAGAAACTTATGATTCGATTCATTTAAATATATGTTCATTCCTTCAACAGTATTTATTGAGTACTTACTGAGAGCCAGCACCGGGGATATGACAGTGAATATAAGACATAGGTCTTGACCTCAAGAAGCTTTCAGTCCAGGGGAGAAAGCAGACAAGTACATGTACTAATTCCCACAACGAGTTAACAGGCACCTGGGCCTCTCCTCTCCCAGGGTATTTTTATCCCCCAGAAATATAAGAAAACCACCACAAGGACCCTGTCTGCTCTCAAAACATGCTTGGCTCTCTGACCACTGCAACCAAGGTCTCTTGGGGATTTTAGGGAATTTCCTCCTGACAAGATCTAAATTCTTAAAGACACGTCAAAGAAAAGAACTCACCCATGGTAGCAGCTGCAGTTTTGACTTGAACATGGTTCATAAATCTCCAAAGCCCTGTTAATTTGGTCAATAAATACTTTCCATTTTGAACCTTCAAAGAGTGAAGTAACAAAGTTAACAAAATACTCCTGAGCACTCTTATTGACTAGCAGCAAGCAGGCAGAACCAACAGAAGGTCAAAACTTTTAGACACCCTCTTCTCATCCCACTGGTGGAAATGAACCTCCAGGAAGGATTCATTCTACAATTCTCCTGCACTCAGGTCAAGTCTGCCCCTTTACTCGGGCTGCCAGGTATCCAAGAAATGGGAAAAATTCCACGCTTAATGCCTGACACTCAGAAGGTTATGGATAAACTGGTGACACGGATTCTCAACTTTTACTAATCAAACTGAGCTCCACAAAGAGGATCGATTAAAAGCCCCAGGCATTATTAACCTTCCCTTCATCTCTTCTGGCAATGGACTAAGAACACTACACACACACACACACACACACACACACACACACACACACACACACACACACACACACGAATTATCCCCCAGTGTGTTAGGGAGGTGCGGGGTAGCCGAGCGTGGGCCATACCCGCTGTGGGTAAACAGGGGCATGGCCGTCCCCTCCCCTCTATCACTCAATTCCGGAGGATGGGTTACTCTCCAGGGTCCTAGGCAGGAGAAGCACTACCAGACACCTAAACGCACTCTCCGCTCCGAGGTGCCCCCGTGCCCCCTGCCCAGCTCTGCCCCGCAGCGGCCACAGCACGAGCGTGGCGCCGGCCGCAACGGGGAGCGAGGGGCGCGGGAGAGCGCCTCGGGACCGGGCCAGACTCCGAGCCCCAGCGGTGGGCTCGGCCCTGTCCGGAGCCCACCTGACTTCTTCTGGCAGCCCGGCACCGGGGGCAGGAGTAGCAACAGCAGCCACAACCGAAGCTGGGAGCGCACCCACCGCTCCATCGCCAGCCCTCCCACTGCCAGGTCCAGGCTGCAGCGCGAGCGGGCGGAAGCGCAGCCCCGCACAAAGATGGCCGTGGAGCCGCACCACGTGGGCGGAGGGCCGCCCCGCCGTGAGACTGCTGCGCTCAGCTCTGCCTCCGGATCCTGGTCCCGAGCCCGGCCAGCCGCAAAGTGTCCCTGGGAAGGCGGCGCGGGGAAGCTGGGCACCCACGGCGCAGCTAACCACAGTGCGGTGCGGGGTGGCTGTAGCTGACCTGCTCGTTTGTTTAGAGCCGAGCTATCCACATATCCACATATATAGCTCTCTCTCTCCCTCTGTCTCGCGCGCGCTCTCAGGTGAAATCGGATCCCAGGAGAGAATGAATAAATGGCACCCCCAGGGAAAAATATGTGTAATATTTGTCTCTTACATTCCTATAACATCTTGAAAACATCTTATTCTCTGCAGCCAGAAAACTGAAGGCCAGAGAGGATATGTTTTTCGCCCACAGATTCACAGTTACCGGCACAAGCTAGGCTAGAAGTTCTTTCACAACCTCGAACTGCTTCTTACTAAATAGCATAGATTTGTTGAGCTGCTGAATGTGTACAGTACTGTTAGACCCCAAAGGGTTGCAAATAGTATATAGCACACATCTCTTTGTAATAGCAGTTTATAACAGTTGGGGTGACTCAGGGAAAAAAACAGTGGTCAACATTTTGCTGTTCAGTGTAGGTATACAGCTATATATGTTATATAAAGGAAAGTGTAAATGAAACGGCTTATTCGTTCTTGCAGTCTTGTCTTTAAACCCCAAGCTCTCTGTGAAGATTTTCTTGGGATTGACACCACAACCCACAGAGCTTAGTACCGTGTCTTGCATGCTGTCTCTGGACTTTGGGCATACTTTTTTTTTTAAAAATAAATTTATTTATTTATTTTTGGCTGCGTTGCGTCTTCGTTGCTGCACGCGGATTTCCTCTAGTTGCCGCGAGCTGGGGCTACTCTTCTTGGGGTGTGCAGGCTTCTCATTGGGGTGGCTTCTCTTGTTGCGGAGCATGGGCTCTAGGTGCACAGACTTCATTAGTTGTGGCACACGGGCTCAGTAGCTGTGGCACACAGGCTTAGTTGCTCCACGGCATGTGGGATCTTCCCGGACCAGGGATCGAACCCTTGTCTTGTGCATTGGCAGGTGGATTCTTTAACCACTGTGCCACCAGGGAAGTCCCCTTGGGCATACTTTTAATGTTATACTTATTGTAATAAATTGTAATTACTGTGTTTTCCTGGTGTCTTGTTTCTTCTACTACACTGTGAGCTCTTTGGGATATTCACTTTTGTAACTCCACCATCTACCTAGTCCTTTTCTTAACATAAAATAAGCGCAAGATTTGTTGCTGAAGCACGACTTCGCGGCTCGATCTCCTTTACCTAGCAGTGACTTGAGCTCAAGTAATGTCTCCCAACCTCCCCCATCTGTAAAAAGGGGGTTGATAACTTGAACACGGTTGTTACTTGGAGTCCATGAGATAACAGGAATAAGCCCTAACGTGGTTGTCCGCACGTCGTTGGAGCTTGGGAGGAAATACGTTGGTTAGTACTAGCGGGGAAGGCGGGGCCGCGACACCAGCGGAGAAGGCGAGTTCCACTGCGCAGGTGCACGCAAGACGCGGTGCGGTGCTCCCTCCCTGGCTCTCGCGTAGTTCCGGGGCCTGTTCGCGGCTGGGGCGGTAGGCCGTCGCGGAGCTGACGTCACCACTGTGCGCTGCCACGTCTGCTCAGCTCCGTGGTAATGGAGGCTGAGGATGAGTGCTGACGGGGTCGGGCTCTGCCTCTAGCTTTAGCTCTGGCTCTGACTCTGGCACTGACTCGGTGTCTGGGTCTGGCAGCGCGAAGCCTGGACACTTTTTCTCGACTCTCCGGGAGGGGACGGCCCGCGGGCAAGCAACTAGTTTGTAGCGCCTCAACCTGGGCAGGGAGTTCTCTTGCCTGGGGTCCAGCCTGTAAAGCCGCCTCCTCCCAGGGATCCTTCCCCACTGGCCTGGCCTCCTCCATGCGTGAGTATTACCGAGCTGCCGCGCTGTCCGATTGTCCCTGGCCTGCTTCGGCCCTCCAGGTTGCGCGGCGGGGGCCGCTTTGTCATCCCCTCTTAGGGGCCAGTCTATTGAAGTTTGTGGTCCTCTCGCCGCCCACCTTTCCCCACCCCATCCTCTCGTCCTCTTCCGTCCCAATTTTTTTGCTCCACACTTTTCTTTCCCTTTGCTGGTTAATTGAGCAAGGACCAGCTGCCTCTACATTCAACGGTTTGAATGCTTTGTCTCACCTGGCGTTTGTAAATCTAAAGCCGAAAGCTGTTAGGAATAGGGAACAGAGGATATCTGCTGTAACGTTTTGAAAACCAGGGTTTTTCCACGGTGTCATTCTTCAGTTTTTAAGTTGTATTGTTTAGGAAACAGATTTTTGGTATCCATATTGGCGGAGCCGTGATTTTGCCATAGATTGATAAAAACAGTTTCTTTTCAGTGATGGTCTTTATGTATTACTTGTCTTTTAATCCTGCAGTTTCAGTGATTTCTAAATGATTTTACATCAGTTTTTCTGGAGTAGTCATCCACTTGAGCTCTTTCCAGTATTTTCACTCTAACATGTGGAATACCACTTGAACAGTTTTACTTTTAAAGCGTTAAAAGACCTTCTGATGTACTTTCACGCATCTTTGTCAGTCCTGACAACCACCTCTGTAGGACAAGGAACGCTTTTTTTTTCTGATGAGGAAAAAACTCAGAGGTTAAATGCTTCCAAGTCAGATAATAAGAAGTCAGATATTAGGAAGTCATAATAAGAATTGATCTCAGAATCTAGATTCCCTTGATAACAAAACCTAACATTTTGGACAGTGCTGATTCTTCTGCATTTCAAGTGACTTATTGTGAAATACTACTTTTTTTTTTTTTAGCGGTACGCGGGCCTCTCACTGCCGTGGCCTCTCTCGTTGCGGAGCACAGGCTCTGGACGCGCAGGCTCAGCGGCCATGGCTCACGGGCCCAGCCGCTCCGCGGCATGTGGGATCTTCCCGGACCGGGGCACGAACCCGCGTCCCCTGCATCGGCAGGCAGACTCTCAACCACTGCGCCACCAGGGAAGCCTCTGTGAAATACTACTTTTGAACTGGAAATGTATATATTCAATGTTTCTTGTAAATTTCTACCTGATTGTAATATCTTTCAAACAGAGCTTAGATTAGAATTTAGGCTTCTGACCCATTGGAGACTGAGTAGTCCTTTCATTAGAATAAACTAGGTAATAGACATTGGGAGCATTTGTTTGACAATCTGGTTTTACAAGGTCTGCTCACTCAGTTTTTCTGGTTGTTTTGTTACACTGCCTACTTTAAAAATAGTAAACTGATATTTAAATGTCTCTTTTTGTTCAGTGTTGAAATAGGCTGACAACCGTTAACCTGGGTTGCAGCTACAGGTGGCACTGGAAGCAGACTGGTTCCTGGACATGCCCGGTGGAAGGAGGGGCCCTAGTCGGCAGCAGCTAAGCCGTTCAGCTTTACCTTCTTTGCAGACTTTGGTTGGTGGGGGCTGTGGCAATGGAACAGGCCTGAGAAACAGGTAAAGAATAAGACTTTGCGTAATTTGTAATATCCTATGATCAGTAAGGCTAATACAGAAGACTAATACAGACTATTCAGATATTTGTTTATCAAGATTGTCTTCTGACACTGAAGTAGAAATCCTGACCCTAAAGATTGAAAACGAAGTATTTCAGAATACTTTGGAGATAGAAAGTTGTGATGCCCACAAAGTGAAAACAGGCTGATTCATACTTATGGCTGATAATCCAAATTCTAGTCATCACCTTTTTTTTCAGCTATTAAAAGAAGAGAGAAATAAATTACAGTTCAAGATGAATATGATGGTTTAACTACTTACTAGCATTCTTTTTTGGGGAGGGTAAATTAAAATAGACAGTTAACATGTGATTCTAAAATTGTCATATTCTGTCAAGGGTCTTAAAAATTATTTTGTTCAGAATGAAATGAGTAAACTATCAGCTGTAGCCTAAACATCTTAAGATTTGTGTCATGTTGTACGAGAATAAAGAATTTGATTTTCTTAATGGAAATTTACCTCTATTCCTAATTTTCAAAAGTTAGAATGAATTATTTCTAAAATTATCCAGGATAACTCGTTTCATCAGGAGGTTCAATCATGTAGCAGTAGAAAGAGATGGGTTTTACTGGATTGTTTGGTCAAGATAATTTTTTTTTCCTGCTTCCTCCCTGAATAGAGTTTTCTCTGGCCTGGATTCTAATTTTCACAGCTAGCAGTCAGTACTACTCTTGTCTTTTCAGGCCCTCCTGATGTTATTTGTGCACTTTCTCTTTCTGGCCTGCCCTTCTTTCTTTCTGACCTTCCACCCCAAGCTCTACTCTGTCTTCAGAATCATTTCTGGTCTTGTCATTTCAGTGGGGCTCTCCCTGAAATTCCAGTTTGAAGGGACTTTCCAGGCTGATTCTCATTATACTAATTTTCAATCCAAATTTTATATTTACATATGTATACAGAGTACTTATAATTTATCCTAGAGTAATATTTTTACTCTCCTGTTCTTTGGATTTCCTCATTTTAAAAACGGTAATACTTTCTGCTTCATAAATAAATACTTTCTGCTTGGAAATAAATGAAGTAGTAAATTGCAGTAACTTTTAAAAACTTTACTCTGAATTTCCCAAAATTTCTACAAATAGCATGTGTTGTTTTATTTTTTTAAATAAAGAAAAGTGAAAAACTGAGACTATGTGAAAAAGCTCTTGAGGAAAGGTACTATCCAACATAGATACTGAGATGAAGGATGTTTCCTATTTGAAGTTCATGCTTTAATTTTACTAATATATACTGACCATCAGTTTAGTGATTCAGTACTTTCAAATTGCAGTAGAAAATCATAGCTGTGCCTAGCTAAGATTCTAGCTAGCTACAGTATTCTAACTCTGCCTCTGTATTAACTCCAGTAGTTCTTTTTTTTTTGGCGGTATGCGGGCCTCTCACTGCCGTGGCCTCTCTCGTTGCAGAGCACAGGCTCCGGACGCGCAGGCTCAGCGGCCATGGCTCACGGGCCCAGCCGCTCCGCGGCATGTGGGATCTTCCCGGACC